AATAATCGTTTTATCTTTTACATTTTGTTACAAAGAGAGTAAAGTGATGATATATGAGATGCCATAACCAGTGGAATAGATGATAGGCCTATATATAACAACGTGTTTGTAGATTTGTTTAAGTGGGACACTGTGACCGATAACATTATAGGAGTGTACTAAGTGACGAATCGTCCATGCAATCGTTTCTTTACGTTCGAATAATTCTTAATGTAAACAAGTAAAAACTTTATCTTACGATCTCAATTCAGAAATGCATTTAATTCAAATGTATTAGTTTGATGACTAAATGATACATAGACTTGGCACCTTGATTTTTTTTTTATAATTTTACTTGTTGTAGGGCAGATTGGTTAACGTTTAAAGGGGTCAGGGTCGTCACGGGACTACGAATTAGAAAAGATGCATGAAGCCTTAGCGATCGGTAAAAATCTAAATAACTATTAGCGTTATAGGGTAAGGGGAGACAATCTCAAAACAAGCATTCAGCGACTATCAACATCCAAGTAGTCCCTATACATATGGACTACAACACCAGGTACATAATTATGCATGTTTATTTACTTCTGCTGAAGTATAAATAGGTGGATAATACGTCAGTACATATTCAGAAAATACAAAAAGACCCGCTAAAATATACTTGGTCGCAAATAATAGTCCTGTGTATCAAACTGAAGTCATTACTCGAAAAGTCCAGTGTATCAACAGCTATAGGTAACTCTCGCGAAAGAGAACAATTCTTTTTCACTAATATACTGTGCATATATAGTGTATTAGGTGCATCAGTTGTATTTGTTCTCATTCGCGAGTGGTACCTGTGGTGTTTCTAACCAGTTAGATCACAACTGGAATCACATATATGCAGTAGCCCGAATTTCCACTGGCCACCAGACTTAGATATTTTGTCAGATAGACGTCTTGTGTGGGGCCCCGCCAGACATCTATCTGTAAAAATATCTGTCTGGTGTCAGGGCCAGAGGAAACTCGGGCTAGAACCACAGGTACTGGGCACACAAAATACAGGTGATGTGCACTGTGTTTAATTACTAAATAATAATAAACAGTATATGTAAAAAATCATATACGTTAACTGTGTGTCCACCACCTGTGACTCGGAAAACCCTATGTTTGTCCACGCAAAGTACATCCACTACTCGGAGATAAATGATTTAACTTGAAACATATCGGAAAAACATAAATACAGCTCCGTAGTATAAATATGAGGGTTATTGCTCAGATATAACCTGACTTATTTTTGTGAACATCTTCCTTAGAATGTAGACGATAAGAATTTATTGGAAATAGAGGCGACTTTAAACAAAAAATATACGATTTTAAGTAGGAATAGTCGACGGTTTATTGGAAATATACACGGTTTTAAGTAGGAATAGTCGACGGTTTAATGGAAATATACACGGTTTTAAGCAGAAATCGGACATTTCAAGACGTGCTTTAGCTATGATTTGACATGGATACCCGATTTCCCTACTCGAGACATGCATTTCAATGGCTGCCATTTAAAGACGTTTCCTTTCTTAATCCCTTGGTGATATAATACTTTCCTTGGTTTGACAGGTGACGTCATTGACGGGCGCCATGTGGGGCAGGAAACCCTTTCCAATCCGGCACACCTGGTTCGCCTCCGTTTTTGTGGGTGTTTTTTCCTTTTGTATCGATGTCTTCAGTCCCGGTGTTTTTTGTCCTATTGTGTTGGCGGTTTTATGGCATATTCTGTCTATTAATTGTTAAGCCTTTTTTTTTATGAAATCGAACCCAGGAATTGAGGGTAGTAATTTCACACTTGATATTTCATGCCAACCAAATATCATAAAAAAAAAAATTGAAGTAGACGTGTGATTTAAAATGGGTTTTTTATGCTGTTTAACTTCAAGGTCATTAACCAAGACCACGTAAAATGTAAATGTTCACATAGACGGTTTTTGAGAATGTCCGAAAAATTGTATTTTCTAATGAAGGTATCCTTAATAATCCAATAATAATAATTATAATGTAGATTGTTATTTAATTCTTCCCTCGAAGAGATGAAAGTACTAAAGACATGTTGTTGAGAATTTTTCTTTGTACATTATTTCTTCGTCCGTAAGGATCATTTTTCTGCTTTTATAATATATATATATATATATTATATCTCCTAGAAGAGATGAAAGTACTAAAGACTCGTTGTTAAGAAATTTTCTTTATACAATATTTATTCGTCCGTAAGGATCATTTTTCTGATTTATAATATATATATATATATATATAGAAAAAATAAAATTAACGACCGACTAAAACACTAGCTGCTTTCACCCTTCACAGGGCTCTTCAACTTTAAATTATTTTAAAACAAACCTGAAGAGCCCTGTGAAGGGTGAAAGCAGCTAGTTTTTCAGTCGGTCGTTAATTTTATTTTTTCTATATTTACTTCCTTCACATGGACATTTAATCCCTTTTTATTATATATATATATATATACTGACACTTACGACCTACAAAACCCCGCATACAACTAGCCATGTCCGAGTTTAGAGGATAATGTTTTAATTGTACATCATTTATTATAAGTGTAACAACTAATACAGAACCCTACTAGTCTGTATAAGTCGTGTATACACTTTTTCCATCCCACTTTTATGTAACCTAAATCAGATAGCAATATAATATATATTATAAAAGCGTCAACAATCAGAACAGAATCGGAACCTAATCTCAATACAATGAACTGAGAAGACATAGACACACACAAAATCACCCAGCACTCTCCAAATAAAAAAAGGAGGCTGAAGTATCGAGGTACCTGTAGGTGATTGGAGAAGGCATGTATCTCCCGAACTATATTTGGCACCAAATGACCAATCTCTCCCAGAATTCTTCGCGATAATCACTAGAAAATCAGTGGAAAGTGTCGCAAGCAAACGCTGACGAAATTGCCGTCAATTCCAGGACAGATTGTCAAAAAATCTAAAGCAATGAAGAGCCAAAGACATTGAAAGCAGGGCCCGTATTCATGAAACTGTTCTCATGCTCAAGCATAAATTCTGTGTTCGAACCTAAATCATATCAAACGTTAAACAAGAGGCCCAGAGGGCCTGTATCGTTCACCTGGATATCTAAGCAATTATGGCAAAATATTCTCGAAATGAGATCCAAGGGAATATGTAGCATCTGTATTAGATTTTTCATGCCCAGCAACTTTATGTTTGGTTATGGGGTGGTGATCTCAAAGGTTTCCAAGCTGTGACTCAGAAACTAGGTCCCTAGGGTTGTGACCAGACCCCAGGATCAATTCTAATATCATGACTGCATTGGTCTCTTTTTGCCCATCATTTGTATTTATAGTTTTGCGGTGGGGATCTCAACCGTTTCTTAGTTATGACCCAGGGGGTAAAGTCTGCAAGGGTGGGGCAGACCTTGGGGTTAATTCCAAAATCATGACTGCATTCATCTCTTTATGCCCAACAAATTGTATATATAGTTTTGGGGTGGGGATCTAAACCATTTCGAAATTATGACCCAGGGATTAATTCTCCAATGGTGGGGCAGACCCCAAGGCCATCCTAGAAGCAACTGTTTCCAAGCTGTGACCAAGAAACTAGGTCTGTAGGGGTTCAGTCAGACCCCATGGTCTATTCTAAGATCATGACTGCATTGGTCTCTTTATGCCCAGCATTTGTATACATAGTTTTGGGGTGGGGATCTCAACCGTTTTAAAGTTATGACCCAGGGACTTTGTCTCCAAGGGTAGGGTTAGACCCTAGGGCCATTCTGGAAGCAAATGTGCATTATATGGTTATACAGTGGGGATCTCANAGCCCCACCATTTGTACAATTTTGAATCCCTGCCTCCCATGAATGCTTCCGACCAAACATGATTGATATCCATGGCGTAGTTCTACAGGAGAAGTCGTTTATAGCAATATAGCCAAATTGCCCCCTTTTGGCCCCGCCCCTCAGCCCCCTGGGGGGTCATCCACACCATTTGTACAAGTTTGAATCCCTGCCTCCCATGAATGCTTTTGATCAAATATGATTGATATCCAGTGCATAGTTCTACAGAAGAAGTTGTTTTTAGCAATATAGCCAAATTGCCACCTTTTGGCCCCGCCCCACCATTTGTACAATTTTGAATCCCCACCACCTAGGGATGATTCCAGTCCAATATGGTTGATATCCATCACTTGGTTCCAGGGAAGAAGTCGCTTAAAGCAATATAGCCAAATTGCCCCCTTTTGGCCCCGCCCCTCAGCCCCACCATTTGTACAATTTTGAATCCCCACCACCCAGGGATGCTTCCAGTCAAATTTAGTTAAATTCCAATCAGTGGTTAAGAAGAAGAAGTTGTTTAAAGCAATTGTTGACGTACAGACGACGGACGCCACGGTATGGCATAAGCTCACCTTGGTCCTTCGGACGTAAACATAAACACTGAACAAAGTATTCGGCTTTACATCCGTTCATTTTGTTCCCCAAATTATTGACAAAATACGTTATTTTATTAATTCAAAATTGAAACAGGAAATTTTGCTTGTGCACAAAATCCATGCTTGACCACAAGTACGGTTTCATGAATACGGGCCCTGGTCGTGATGACGTGAAATTTTACCATTGTAGGTTAAGACTTTCAGGAAAACATTTGCTACATATCATCAAAGGGTACAATGCATGTACGAAACCTAGATCAAATGTAGACTCCATAGCATTCACATTATACCAACTTTTTTCAGTACACTATAAATTTTCGTGAAGTTGTTCTGAAATTTGTTTCCTATTTTCAGCCGTTCTGAGGTGGATCTTCGACATCGCCAGTTCACAATAAGCCAAAGTACGGTCTACATGATACAAGTTCAGGTTAAATCCGTGAGGAATGTAAAGGTCAGCGCGCTTTTTTACTATGCACACTAACATAGAATTAATTTCAGTCCATGCACCCGAATAGGAGAGGGCACATTTAGGAGAACTATCCATCAATTCTTCGTTGAAATAAAAACAAAGACCATGAATGACCAAAAGGAAGGTTTTTATTTAATTTCATTTCATCTTAATTTGAACTTTCTCTCTTTCTTCCTGATAGACGTTCAAACTTCCCGACCCTAGACTACAAAACTAGCAAAAAACAAGTCATTCCTTTAAAACATTTGTAACACTGCTAGAGAGATTAACAACTTAAACTTCATTTCCTTCCATTGCAAAGAACTCATATTTTATATGTGTCTTTATATCACATAAAAAGGATGTTGTCGTTTTTCTACCAACAAGTTATTTAATAACGCAAAGAAACAAATAAAAATCTTAATAAAATAAGAATAGACAATGCCACGAACAAAATGTGTTCCTTCCATTTATAAATTCTACAAACTGTTAAGAAATCAAACGTATTTGTAGCAGAAAGATACATTGAAACAGGTAGCTAGGAGTTCTTTGTAGTGCACGGTGATGAGGTTCCCAGAGCATATCTTCACCAAATGTTCGACCTCTTCCATCCAATAATATAAATACTGATGCTTGAATACCAGAAGCGAATAGTTAAAATAGGATAGAAGTGAAAAACAGCACAGAGAGAAAAAAAGCAATTATTAAAAGAAATAGATGACAAAATATTCAATATGCAACAAATGTCATAGATAATACTCAGAAAAGATAAGATAAACAAAAATGACTGAATGAAAAATTGAGCATGGCAAAATAACTCAAGCAAAGACTTGTCAGATTATAACTGTAATTAATCAAATCAAGAGATGCATTGTATCGTTAAAATCGCAGGCTAATGAATCACTAAACTGTTAGTGATTTTTTCTCAACAAAGAAATCCTCAATGTGAATATCATAAACTCACTAATACATTGATTAAAATAACCAGGTGGTTTCACTGGATATCATACTTGGACACCTCTTTCATCAATAAACTGGTTACTAATGTATTTAATCAAATAAACTGGTTACTACTGTATTTAATCAAATAAACTTCTCAACAGTTTTTTCTTTGACTATTTCATCATTTAACTACCTGAATTAAAAGTCATAGTTAAATCAAAATGTTGTATTTTGTAACTTAATATGATGTTGCGCAAAACTTCCATATGAGTTTGGTGCAATACCATTGCAACGAAGACCCCTGTCCTTCTCTCGAAGGCAAATATAAAGACTGCATGGGCATTTATTAGAATAAATACTATATTTGCCCAGAAATTATAGCAATAACACACTCCTGCATACAGAAACATTCAATCAACACCTGTTTATTATGTTTATCATATATACACAATTGATTAAATACAAACTATCCAGGGGAGGAAAATGTAATAGCCACCAGACGATTATGATGTCAATCACTAGGATACCTCCTCCATTTGAAAAACCACACGTAGCTATTATAACACTGCAAACCTAGAAACCATTTCAATTATCAACAAACAGTTGATCAGAAAATATATATTTTATATACATTATTTATGATGGACCCCCTCAGACCACATACTCAATGCAGAACACCTTGTACCTCAATACAAAAACTAAATCCATTTCACACTTACTTTGCAGAGCACAAAAAGGGTACAAGGACCATCCCTAGATAATCCAAAAGTCATATTTAAACACAACATTTATACAACAAATATTCCTTGATATATTGTAGATTCCCTTCACACTTTAATTCTACATTTATTGTACAAATTACATAGAAAAAATATGTATGAAATCTGAATATGTTTTTGTATGCAAGGACATGCTAGTAATAAAAGCACCCTCTAAAATAGCATACCTTATTCAATGTACACATTAAATATTTCTACAGAGATACAATTTGTATACAGATGAAAGTTCAATAAACATTGTTCTCCATGCTTCTCGGTCATAGCATTATTAGTTTGTCACATGTCCCTCGATATAAAGTCTAACTGTCGCTTGCCAATCAAACCAAGCAGGGAAATTTTGATACAAGATTGTTATCATTAATCTTATTACCATATATGGTATGATCTGATTATCATATATCTAAGGATCTTGTTACAATGGATCTTCAGATCTTATCACCATTGATCTAATTACAAAAGATCTTAAACCAAAACTTGTATATTATTACCATATATGGTATCATCTGATTATCATATATCTAAGGATCTTGTTACAATAGATCTGAAGATCTTATCACCATTGATCTAATTACAAAAGATCTTAAACCTAAACTTGTATATAAGGGATTCAACGCTATTATCAAGCAACAAATAAACTCATCTCTGTTAAAAAAAAAACAGCAATTTTAAGATATAAGTTGACCATGATGAAGAAACCTTTCCCATATGGCTGGGTCAATGTAGAGACCTTTACAATAGATTCAAAGCTATATGGAGAAACACTGAAGGTATACTCTAAATACGTTCAGTGCCATGAGAAACCTTGCATGAAAATTAAAGCTGTTTAATATTAAAATCTATATTCATCATAAAATGTATAAACCAGTTGAATCATTATATTTTAGGAAAAGAGTTTTTTGTTTTTTTACGAATTTTATTTCTATTCAAGAACAATTTTGAATAGAAACATATTGAAGTATATAATGCCAACAACACTGATTTATTAGTGTAGCATAGATCCCATACACACAATTGATTCTTTTATACAATTCAAACACAAAATAGATAAATAATTGACAAAAATATCATAAATACAAAGCAATAATGCCTCAGTACAGTGTATAGCAGAAAGAAAAGAAAAAATCAAATAAACGTAGAATATTCCTTGTTAATACAATATTTCCTTTCCAATTATCATTTTCATCTTAGACAATGCATTTAATAGGCAACAAAATATATTCTTAAAACATACCTTTTTGATATATATATATATATTTATTTAGAATCATGGTTTAATATAATATGTCCACACAATATTAATCTCTCTTCACACATTTCATATCGATTTCTCACAGGCACAGTTTTTACCGTACCTGTGTATCAATGTTTATCCAACTAATACCTGGACATAAGGTATAATCTACTGTCTCATTACCGTACCTGTGTATCAATGTTTATCCTACTAATACCTGGACATAAGGTATAATCTACTGTCTCATTACCGTACCTGTGTATCAATGTTTATCCTACTAATACCTGGACATAAGGTATACTCTACTGTCTCATTACCGTACCTGTGTATCAATGTTTATCCTACTAATACCTGGACATAAGGTATACTCTACCGTCTCATTACCGTACCTGTGTATCAATGTTTATCCTACTACACAGGTATACACTAATTAGGTACAAGTGTTATAACATAATCGTCAGCTACTGAAAAAGTGGAAATTCTCGCAATTGGTAATGTTTGTATTGTTTGTCCTTGAACCGACTGTGGTGTTGACATTTTCTATTTTGTCAATGGTTAATAAATCTACATATTTTATCCAGATCACTGCAGATTTACTTTTACTTGACAAACATTAATCGTACCAGAGGTACGTTTCTTGTTCCAGGGGAATTGTTATATTTTACGACCATTCATCACAAGCATGCATGCACTCTTGTGAAACACATAACACCCATGTAAACATGACACACTAGAAACATACCTTTATACATAATTTCAGGTAAAATATCAACTTTCACTTTCACACAGCAAGCCTTAGTGCAGTCAGCATTTACAATCTTGCCAAGCGGTAAAATTACAAACCCAAATAACCATGAATGTAACAATATTTAACAGTATGTATTCATCAAACTATCGTCAACAAAACAAATATACCTGGTTATGTTCTCTGGTCGTTGAGACCTTAGAGAGACCATTAGTCTGTATGTGAACCAGTGTTGGAGAATGCCACATGATGTCTCCAAGGTTAATCAGTTAATTGTATCTGTAGAACTCAACAATAAATATTCTATCCTTCCATCCTTAACATAAGAATGACGTCATTCACAAGGTCTATAAATTTGTTCCCAAACACACTACACCACATTTTGACGATTCCTGTCTACTATAGAGGTCGCAGTGTCAACACATCCCTGCATTTCTCTCCCCAGAACACATAGGATTTTGAATGAAATTATTATTTTCACAAATAACTGTTTGTCACAACTGTTGTGCCGGTCATTACAGCCCCCTACACACATATCAGTGCTGTCTCGGGTGTGATACAAAGTGGATGCCACTTTGTTTGGATGCCACTTTGTCTGACACTTTGTATGCATCAGTTGAGATAACATATCTTTCATCAGTTTATCTAATCGACACAACACTGGCTAGATTATTACTCTGGCAGTGAGGGAAAGTGGTAAGAGGTGAGAGCTACACATAAGCATACTAATTTGATGGCTAGTGTACATCCGTACGTCGATAGTAAAGCAGATACGGTACGCGGGGAGGGTTGTACTTGAGAACAAATGGTAGGTTGACTGGCTTCACGCTATTATCATCCAGGCTAATCCAGCCATTAATGGCAGGATGAAATACTGTCGTGGTGTAATGACCCCCACCAGTAGCCATCTTCCCATGATGGAACACAACTGGAAATTATAAAATATCAGTTAGAATCAAAGTAAAAGTAGATAAAAACAAATTATCACATTTTTACCTTACAGGTGGAAAACACAAAATGTCACAATTTACCTTAAATTTAGGCAAGACAACTCGGATGAACTCGATATAAAACAAAATTTAAAAGCCTAATATTCACAAAATCCGTCAAAATGGACCAAATGCCATAAAGATACATTTTGACATACTAAACATCATGTTTGTTGAGTTGGTAATTGAAACGATCCATTGTGACATCAAAATTGTTTTGTTCTAACTTGTTACAGAACTGATATTTTCAGAAAGGTTTATAGTGAAAAAACACAATAATATCATAGAATTTTCCAGATTGTACTCTGACATGGTTTATGGGAAATTTTAATATATCTTTCTTTCTATGTACAAAAGTATTGATTTAAGTAAATACATATTTATTACATTTTTAACTGTGAAATATCAATTTCATACAGAGTGATATTAATTCTTAACCATGTTTAAAGCCACAGGTGTTTTGTTCTGATGTAATGAATAGAAGAAGTGGTTGTTTCGGTACACCTTTGATACAAACACTAAGGTACTTACCTAACTACACAGTTTATCATATTTCTTGTATTAATTCAATCTTACAAGATAATTAAACTTGATGGTTTCCTTTTGAATACCTACATTATCTATTTCACTCCTATAGCATTACACGTTTATGCAGATACTTTCCACTTTGACAGCCTTTACTACTGTTGAAAAGATCATAATTCTGCCATAAAGGGAAACCATTACATATCCTCTATAAGTAGTAATGTAATATACATACCAGCAAACAGTTTGTATGATCTCTGGTGAAGCTGGAGCTTTGATTTGACATTGGGGGAAAGTAGATCTGTTGGTAAAGAAAGCATGGAATAAATACAATATTCAAGCACCTGTGTAGTAATTTCATGTCATATTTAATACATCCAATTATCATTTCTCTTTTCGTTTTACAGATTGAGTCTGCTTTAGGGCACCTATATTTGCAATAGTACTAACCACCTGGAATAGTTCTGTTCAAATTAAACTCAAAGGAATTTTGACACATGATTATGATCAAAATATACATCGATATGACCAAATATATGCCTTACACAATACTTTTATGACAATTTTCAGAATGCACAGCAGATTTCGTTAGGACTCCAAGTCAGTGATCCATGGGGAGACAACTCTTGAATAATTTCAACCTACACCGAGCAACCACCAAGAACACAAAAGAAGCCCAACAGCTTTCGTCTAATTTAACAACGGCTCCAGTGATCTTTAGATCTATGGGGAGATAACTCATTATACTTACCTCTAGTGATTTCCAGATCTATGGGATAGTCGATCTTCTTGAGAAGTTTCTGTGACCCTCCGTCTTTGTTGAAGACGAAATACTTGAGGTGCATGACAAGGACAGGTGGGAGTTCCTCCAGAGTGACCTTCTTGGCAACCTCCAACTACAAAATCATCATGAACTGTCAAATTCCTGAAACACCACTGACTCGATTTAATCTGTTTTCACTTGAAATACTACAATTATATCTTCTCAGCTGAATGCTGAATCTTTATTACTGAGTTACCAAATAGTCATGTTTATGTTACTACAAGAGCCAGGAATAGCAAGAGTCTACTTTTCTTACATTTTTTAACACTGTAACTGGTTATAAATACACTAATGTTTTACACTCCATACGCAAGTTGTGTGAAAATTACGATGTATAGATGAATCATCAGGGTAATATTTCCTTATGTCCTGCATCCTCCCACTGCGATGCATGGAGAATGGAATGTGTGTCGTGAGACCATTAAACACCATTAGGTTAGGTGACCACTAGTGAAAAGTTATTTTAGCAAATGGTATTGTGTTTCTGTAAAACGCATTGCTGTTGCTGACATTCTTACATAAAAATGTTGCTGGATTAGTTAATTAAATAACAAAGTTGGGACTATAATGAGTCTTATGACTAGCAAGTTTTTCATCAAGACTGACGGGTAACAAAAGAATGTGATTGTAGTGTTTATAAATAAATTATTCTTCACATTTGTAACTCTGATATAGACAGAAAGAGGTTGTTATGTAACATTTCTTTAAAGTTTTTTCTAGCTCAGCAAAAGGAAATTTTTATCTAATAACTGGATAGCTAAACTTGTTAAAAGTTAGGCCAAATAAAATTAATTACTTGGTTCTCAGGCCAATTTTTTTAAAAAGAGATGCGGCAGGGTGGTAATTTTTTGTTCATTTAACATGGCAAAAATGAGACGAGGGCAATTTTTTTTCATTGTGTAGTTTGTAAAACGTTCATTGTGGGCATTACCTTGTCTTTTTATAGTTGTGTAGAGACCCGTCATAGAGCAAGCCTCCGAAAATCCCCCCACGATGTTCCAGACAGGAATCAGGAACCCCCCATCCTTATTTGTACCGAAATGAGCGCCATTTGTACACAAGACTAATAAGTCATAATCATTTTAACGCTTGCCTGTATATCAATCCTTACCTTTATTCAAACGTTATCGGGACTTAGGTGACTAACGAGTAAAAACGACATGCGGACCAATTTTCCAGATTTCTTTAAAGATGGCGGCCAGGGCATTCACAATTTTTTTTTTTTATTACTTTCACAATAAAATTGGCAATGTGGTGCCCTAAAATGAAATGCACGCGGGCCCGAGAACCAAGTTATCATTTTTTTTGGGCCTTAAATTATGCAGATTAGACTCATGAAACACACAGTTCTATCAAACAATGAATCAATAATCAACAGATCTTTTGTTGTATGCAACATATTGAAATGTGGAATAATTCTTACACATTTCTGAAAAATTCACATCATAAATCGCCACAAATCTACACTAACCTGGCTTTTGACAACCTATAGCTATTACTGTCTATTGAACAAGCACATTAGACTTGTACTTTATTTTATTACCCTTGTATTGTCAAGTTTAGTATACGGTATTTGTAAAAAGAGAAAAGAATGAAATTATAATTGTTTGGGCTTTCACTGGAAGACTTCTCAACAGAAGTTAAATAAAGGATGACTACGGATATTCTGTCAAGTTTTCACGGAACAATTACTGAAAAGTGAATTGATAAGATAAGTGGATCAGACAGCTTTATAATACCTCCAGCTTTGTCTTGGTACAAGTGTAGCCACTGATGGATTCTTTCAGCACCAGTCCCTCTAGGGCATCCCGAACAGTGTGCACAGTGTCCGCCTGTAACACAAATCACACAATACTAGATGACACACATTTATCCTACATCCTCATAATCACATGGAGGTCGGTGATTTGTTATATTGACTAGTTTGCTACTTTTTGTAAAAACAGTAGGTTATATTTACCTTATAATGTCATTTAATTTTAATGTCACATGCTCTCTGCCAAATGCAGCACTTTCCTCTGAACATTTTTCCTGCGTTTGATCTTGTTTGATGATTAATATTTTTTTTAGCATCTAATATAACAAACTAAGTACTTCTATTTTGGGGAATATGTGGTTATATGGGCCAGAGAAAGTAATACTGACAGAGATGTGGTCAGTATCACTTTCTAAGGATCAAATAACCACATATTCACCTCAACTAAAGGCAGTGATTGATAAATATCTCAGTTCATTTCTTACATTCCCCTGGTTTTTGCTTTTTATACACTATAGGACCTTACAAGGCTGTAACACACAAACATCGTGCCATAGAGAAATAAAACAAAGAACACTGTGGAAGGCCAATACACTATGCCGAAATGCCAAATATTTGTTATGCCAAATGCGTAATGCCAATTGTGAAATGTAAATTGCAAAATGTGTAAATGACAATTGCAAAATACCAAATGCTTAATGTGTAATTCAAATGCATAACTTGAAAGGTTGTGCATTAGTATTTTTGTTTCTCATTCTTGAAAGGTACCTATGTTCTGATGTTGATTCCTGATCAACATCATAATTACCATGCTTTCATTGACTTTTTTATTGATAGAGCATCATAACTTATCTGTCGTTCACGTTGGGAATTTCAATCGCCAACTGCCAAATGCGTAATGCCAATGCCCAAATGAGTGATACCAATTGCCAAATGTGTAGCACAGGTTGTTCTTTGACTATTAGCATTTCACATCTTATTCTGTATACTGGCCTTCCATAGAACACTGAACAATTTCACTATTGTATGCATATACATGTACTATACCTGTATGTCCAGCTGTAGGGTGAAAAATGGCTGGAGAGTGGCGGACTCCTTGGCGGCAGATTTAAACACAGCAGACCTCATGTACCCCACAAAGATGTCTGCAATAGGGCTCTTTGAAAACATAGCCTGTCAGTTATGAAAGAAAGAAATCTTGTTAATTCCAATGATCAATAAAAACCACGTTAGTGTAGTTCATGTAGATGCCCCCCTCCCAAACCTACCTGAGAGATCAAGTGTGACCTTTGACCCCACGATTGATGACCACCAAAATCCAATTGTTTGTAGAACTTGGTCTTGCAATACTATTATTAACTTTAAATATGTTAAGGGGCTTGTGAGATATCAAGCTTTTGATTAAAATGTGGTCAAGTGTGACCTTTGGCCCTCTAACCTTGACTTATGACCACCAAAACGGTACCATGTGTAGAACTCAATGTTATCATTCCATGGTGTATAAACTAAATCTGTCGAGGCAAACCTGAAATAACTTGAACAAAAACTTTCACTTCAAACATAGCCAATTTTGAACTTTGAGATTGACTAATGACAAGTGGTGGGTGGCGTTGAAGCATTTTAAGGATTTGATGACATATACCTTGCGCGTAAGAGCACTTCGTTTCTTGGGTCCAACTTGTTCCCAGGAATCCTCAGACATCTCCGATTCTGCATCTTCCTCCTGGTCAAAGCCGTTAGCCTCTGTTTCTGTAATAGTAAAGACTCATCAATCTTCCGGCAAGAGCTGGATATTTGAGAGTACATATGTACGTTGATTTCCAGATTTGGGTTAAAGATGAACTTGAGTAGGTAATTGATACTATATTTATGTGTAAAAAGTTGCATAATAATCAAAGCATTCTCATATAGAAAACTTTTGTGCGGATGCTGCAGCCGTTACTTCCTCTCCATTGAAATTAAAGTGAAAATAAATATCCTGAGAAATGTCATTGATTGTGTTTACCATAACTTACCGCACTATACAAATTGACCTCTGACCTCCTTTTGAGTATACCTGGTGTAGAATCACACCAAGTACACCCATTGACCTCTGACCTCCTAATGACTGTATAACTAGCGTGGAGCCATACAGTAATACGCTCATTAACCTCTGACCTCCTAATGACTGTATAGCTAGCGTGGAGCCACATGTACCCACATTGACCTCTGACCTCCTAATGACTGTATAACTAGTGTGGAGCCACACATACGCACATTGACCTCTGACCTCCTAATGACTGTATAACTAGCGTGGAGCCATACAGTAGTACACACATTATCATCTGACCTCCTAATGACTGTATAACTAGTGTGGAGCTATACAGTAGTACACACATTATCCTCCGACCTCCTTATGACTGTATAACTAGTGTGGAGCTATACAGTAGTACGCACACTGACCTCTGACCTCCTAATGACTGTATAACTAGCGTGGAGCCATACATTAGTACACACATTATCCTCTGACCTCCTAATGACTGTATAACTAGTGTGGAGCCATACAGTAGTACACACATTATCATCTGACCTCCTAATGACTGTATAACTAGTGTGGAGCTATACAGTAGTACACACATTATCCTCCGACCTCCTTATGACTGTATAACTAGTGTGGAGCTATACAGTAGTACGCACACTGACCTCTGACCTCCTAATGACTGTATAACTAGCATGGAGCCATACAGTAGTACACACATTATCCTCTGACCTGCTAATGACTGTATAACTAGTGTGGAGCCATACAGTAGTAAACACATTGACCTCTGACCTCCTAATGACTGTATAACTAGCGTGAAGGTATACAGTAGTACACACACTGACCTCTGACCTAAAGACTGTATAACTAGCGTCGCACATTAACCTCTGACCTCCTAATGAGTGTATAACTAGCGTGAAGCTATACAGTAATACGCACATTGACCTCTGACCTCCTAATGACTGTATAACTAGCGTGGAGCCATACAGTAGTACACACATTGACCTCTGACCTCCTAATGACTGTATACCTAGCGTGGAGCCATACAGTAGTACACACATTATCCTCTGACCTCCTAATGACTGTATAACTAGCCTGGAGCCATACAGTATTACGCACATTGACCTCTGACCTCCTAATGACTGCATAACTAGTGTGCAGCCATACAGTAGTACACACATTATCCTCTGACCTCCTATAATGACTGTATAACTAGCGTGGAGCCATACAGTAGAACACACATTATCCTCTGACCTCCTAATGACTGTATAACTAGCGTGAAGCCATACAGTAGTACGCACACTGACCTCTGACCTCCTAACGACTGTATAACTAGCGTGGAGCTATACAGTAGTACACACATTATCCTCTGACCTCCTAATGACTGTATAACTAGCGTGGAGCTATACAGTAGTACGCAAACTGACCTCTGACCTCCTAATGACTGTATAACTACTGTGAAGCTATACAGTAGTACACACATTGACCACTGACCTCCTAATGACTGTATAACTATTGTGAAGCTATACAGTAGTACACACATTGTATATACCAGGGCCCAGTTGTTCAAAAGGTGGTTAGCTTAATCACTGTTTAACAACATTTTTCCACCTTTAATAATTTTGTCAATATACCAGGTAAAATCTCACAATTGTGCATGTAAATTGACACTAATAAATATTTTATATTTCGAAAGTTGTAACTAATTCAATGGTTGTGTCTTAAAGATACACAAAAATTTAAATTTGCACTAATCACCTTTTGAACAACTTGGCCCTGGTGGGTAGTTTTTGTTACTTTGGTTTAGAGTAGTGACCTCTGACCTCTGAGTGACTGTATACCTGGTGTGGAGTCGCGTGTATTGTTGACCAGTTGCATGACAGAAGCCATCTCCTCATGTAGTCCATCCAGAATACAGCTAAGGAACTCTTCAGCGTCCTCCTGACGACCCAGCTGTCAACAAAGTAACCTCTCCTTGAATTCCATTCCAAATTTCTCATCATTTTAAAGTTAATTCTGTCAAATTCTTCAAAACTTCAAAATCAATGAAAACATCACAAATGAAACTTGATTTAATAGGATATTACAGTTAGCTACACTCCCTCCCCCCTCAAATGTTAAAGTTCTATTCCGTAAATGTATCCTGATTATAGTTTATAGAAAACACTAATGAATGAAAATCTGCAGAATATATTATTTCTGCCGAAACATATAGTTAGACAGGTAACTTCAGCAAATCTAAATGTCTTTGTTAGGTTGTAAATCCAGCCAACCTATTCTAAATGTCTTTGTTAGCCTGGAAATACGGCCAAACTATCCTAAATGTCTTTGTTAGCCTGGAAATATGGCCAAACTATCCTAAATGTTTTTGTTAGCCTGGAAATCCAGCCAACCTATTCTAAATGACTTTGTTAGGTTGTAAATCCAGCCAACCTATTCTAAATGTCTTTGTTAGCCTGGAAATACGGCCAAACTATCCTAAATGTCTTTGTTAGCCTGAAAATCCGGCCAAACTATCCTAAATGTCTTTGTTAGCCTGGAAATACAGACACCCTATCCTAAATGTCTTTGTTAGCCTGGAAATCTGGCCAAACTATCCTAAATGTCTTTGTTAGCCTGGAAATCCGGCCAAACTATCCTAAATGTCTTTGTTAGCCTGGAAATACGGCCACACTATCCTAAATGTCTTTGTTAGCCTGGAAATCCAGACACCCTTTCCTAAATGTCTTTGTTAGCCTGGAAATACGGCCAAACTATCCTAAATGTCTTTGTAAGCCTGGAAATCCAGACACCCTATCCTAAATGTCTTTGTTAGCCTGGAAATACGGCCAACCTATCCTAAATGTCTTTGTTAGCCTGCAAACCTAACCTCAATGTCTGATTAGCCTGAACTCTACCATAAATGTTTTTGTTAGCCTGGAAATCCAGCCACCCTATTCTAAATGCCTTTGTTAGGTTGTAAATCCAGCCAACCTATTCTAAATGTCTTTGTTAGCCTGGAAATACGGCCACACTATCCTAAATGTCTTTGTTAGCCTGGAAATCTGGCCAAACTATCCTAAATGTCTTTGTTAGCCGGCAAACCTAACCTCAATGTCTGATTAGCCTGAAATCTACCATAAATGTTTTTGTTAGCCTGGAAATCCAGCCAACCTATTCTAAATGGCTTTGTTAGGTTGTAAATCCAGCCAACCTATTCTAAATGTCTTTGTTAGCCTGGAAATACGGCCAACCTATCCTAAATGTCTTTGTTAGCCTGCAAACCTATCCTCAATGTCTGATTAGCCTGAAATCTACCATAAATGTTTTTGTTAGCCTGGAAATCCAGCCAACCTATTCTAAATGACTTTGTTAGCCTGGAAATCCAGACAACCTATCCTAAATGTCTTTGTTAGCCTGCAAACCTAACCTCAATGTCTGATTAGCCTGAAATCTACCATAAATGTTTTTGTTAGCCTAGACATCCAGCCAACCTATCCTAAATGTCTTGTTAGTCTGCAAACCTAACTTAAATGTTTGGTTAGCCTGAAACCTACCTTAAATGTCTGGTTTGCCTGCATGACTTGTAACATCTTGTAGACATTCACCGGCTCAAACTCCTTCCCCGTGCTTATGTCCTGATACATCCTACGGCCTTTTTGTGATCCTATTAAACAAGTTGGCATGAATAAATATTTTTCAATCAATACTACAATTTTAGAGGTGCATAATAGTACATGCACTTGCATTAGTTTTATGCTCAATATACGGGACATATTTACAGCATTATATTGTATGGGCTATTCCAGAATTATGTCAGGAAGAAATTAAATTACAAATGCATATTTAAAATTGTGTTTCTATCAACTGCTTTTTATATCTTTTCCTTTTCTTAAAATTTGATTGATGTCTTAAGAATAAATTAATATTATCATGAGAACAGTCCTGTTAGATCAAGTAAACATAATCCGTCAATGACATTTCAAAACACGGAATCATTAAATCTCTTTCTCTGACTTATATTGCAACTAGAAATATGTATCAAGGCACTTGATTGTATTATCCTCTACCACCAGTATTTACAAAAGACAGCATGATTATTATGGGGAAAAGAGACCAGTGAGTTTTCACTAGTTTCTTTATTCCTTCAGCAGCTTACCTCTGTCAGTATTCCGGACGTATGGCGAGAATTCATTTACAAACTCCACCCTGTATAACACAAAAAAGTTTTTGTATTTTGTAACAATCAAAAATTATCATATAATAGTAGCATTATCATATTTTGTGTATACATATATATATATAAATCATTGCCAAAATGGTGAAATAGTACTCTCTCTTTTTTTTTTTTTATCAAATTCTATACTTAACTCATTCACCCCTGAAAATTCATAATGAACTATTCCAACATTTGAATTGGAAGAGTTTGAATGTGTCTTCAGGGGTGAATGAGTTATCAGTTTTGAAAATGTGATGAAAACATCAATGAAATTGTGACATGAGCATGGTGTCTTACATGCCATCTAAAACTCTCATTTATTATAATGAGACCTTACTCTGGTGGGTCTTAAATGTTGTCTAAAACTCTAATCAGTTACAATGAGACCTGACTTTGGTGGTTCTTACATGCTGTTTGAACTCTAATCAACTAGCCCGTCTTGTGGCAATATATCCCCCATAATCATCAAGAAGCAATCTGCCTATATAGCTGAGCTTGACGTTTGACATTTGGACTTCAAAAAGAATCGCAAGGAAGCAAAATATACATTTTATATGTACTATGGGCTAATAGAAATGTAAACACCAGTGCAATACTCATTTCACCTTAAATATCTCCCCCATCGAGAACCAGGGTCAATGTCAGAGATCCACTTTGTCTTTGACCTTTAGACCCAAATGACCTTGACCTTTAACCCAGTGACTCTGATCTTTGGTCAGTTGACGTATTCTTTAATTCTGACCACCTTTGCTTCATAATATCATAACAGATGTTCATCACTGAAAAATACAAAACTTGACCTTGACCTTGAACATTTGGACAATGTAACCTGGACCTTTGGTTAGTTGACTCTGTGTTCAGTTCTAAACAACTTTGCTTCGTAATAACATAAAACTAGAAATATGTCAGAATTACATGAAAGTCATCCCATCATTCTGTATGATCATTTTACGATAAATAATTGACCACGCTACAACGGGTATATTTCCACCTGTCAATCAAAATGGTAAACAATGACCAGGTGTAAATACATACATGCTGTCCATGTAGCCATGCCAACACATGGAATTAATAAGAAAGCATGTCGCAAATATAACGTTAACGTTGACCGACACCTCGAATATGGTGAGATTTGCACGCTGACGCGGTCACCTGGCATGGGCAGAACAGGTAATTGGAATATAAGGTGTTGTTTCCACAACAATAAGTTTCAGAAAAGATTCAATCTTATATACGGATAAATCTTTTACTTTTTTTTTGTTATGAAATACACTTTTCCAAGTAGTTTTCTGATCGTCTGCATCGGCAGAGTGTGTGAAGTTCGCGAGACATGAAGAACACCAAACAATTGTGATTTCAGCAATTCTCCTGCGAAAAGAAGAGATCGGAGTGTATTTGGCTGTTTTGAACCTGTTCATATTTATTTTTCAAACTCAAACTTTTATCATTTTCGGTTCAATTGGCATGGATGTCACCTTGTAAATTCCTGCCGGTGAATAGTATCACGCGACCATAACTCTTTGCGGTACACAAACTTGCTAACTTCGCCACTTTACCCATGTCATTTTGACACATTCCTACTGTCAGTATTGAAGAGTTCAGATTGATTTTACCCAAGAACGACATTTTAACCACAGAGTGATAAATGCGATGCAATTCTTCGTTATCTTTCCCGATACGTGGTATTTTTCAATTCACAATATAACGTCCTGAAAAGTTGGGCCTACTTAACTGGAGTTTATTTATCTGATTCTATCGTATAATATTACTTTAACTCAGGGGCCGGGTTATTCAATGAAATTTAGCAGTTTTATTGCTGCGAGCACATTTTAAAACATTTCCGAAAATCCTCAAAAAATTTACTAGAAATGGTCGCGACTCAGGACTGGTTTTGGATTGTTCTTGAGTATTGTGTACACCCCTTTTTTGACACTTCATTTTCCTTAAAATGTGCCCACTATACACAAATATTAACGATAGTCGTTGGTCAGACATAAAATACCTAAATCAATCAATAGCAATTTATAATACGACAGTTAACCCTTTCGTGAACCTCAAAGATGCCCGATTCATACTCGGAACATCTTTAGGTTATATGTAATTCCCGTGTAAAATTTGGAACGCCTTTAGTTTTTATGCTATTTCTGTTTAAAAAGGAATTCGATATCCGATCTGCCAAAAAATGACCAAGCAGAACTAGGTTACATGAGAAATCATCAAGTAAAATTTTGAAAACATACTCCATTTACTTCCATCAAAATTGTGCAAAAGAAAAGAAACAGTCAGACAGATGGGCGGACGGACAACCTGATTACTATAGGGCACCCTCATCTTCGATGTGAGGCCCTTGCGGGGCCCTTATTACAATGAGACCTGACTTTGGTGGGTCTTACATGCAGTCTAAGACTGGAGTACTACTGGGGCCTCTTTCCTCCCTGTTGTACTTTGGCATCCGGCGCAGGAGATCACAGAAAGGGGGACAGGCCACCAGAGCCTGCAGTGTCTGAGGTAGGTCAAGGTCAATAGACACATATTTTAACAATACATTGTACATCAAACAAGAAGTATTAGGTGTTAAACTTTAATTTCAATGATGCATTGTGTTGGATGATAGACAAAGAACAGTGATATACCAGAGGCATTCTTTGTTATATATGACAAAATCTTCTATTAATATAAAATGTACCTAGCTTCTAGTATTTTAAACTGGTTCTAAAGCTAACACTGATAATTGAACAGTATATGAAAGTGTACTAGGCTGATCAGGTCTATTTAGAATAACCTGCCATTACAGTTTCCAGAAATAATGGGTGTTGATATCCATGTACACCAGATTACTTTCTATTGTTTAAATAATATTATTCTAAAATACATTACAATAACTAGTACCTTTATATACTTTTCACTGTATGTATACATGTAATTGACATTTATGGATTATTACCATTCAGCCATAATTGTCAAATTGTTAATACTCTGAAAATAAATTTCCTAATTCAATTTCCTTTCATTCCTTGAGAGTCTGATACTTAATTGGGATAATTCTATATTATACGGTTGTACAATTAAATTGTGCAATACATGGTGAAGGATACAGCATTGATGTAGCACCAGTTACCACGGTTGACCAGTCCACGAGGGGTCAGTCCTACCTGTACGTGGCTAACAGTCATGATACTCAGGGCCTCTGTAACATTAAATGCATACATTAACTTATACACCAACAGATACAGCAATCATGACAATAACATGATGCATGAAAACATCGGCATAAACAATCAATTCTTCAATGTCCTCTTATAGACAACAGAACCAATTTAAAATGGGTTTTGAAAAAAAGAAAAATGAAAAAAAATACACATGGAATTCACAGAAAGGTTCAAATTATCTGCTGGTTATTTATACATTTATTTTTACACAAAATTTGGTTGCTAGATACATGTATATTTTGTTGATCTTCAATATATTAATCTGCTGATGGGTTGAAATGAAATACACATGGAATTCACAGAAATGTTCAAATTATCTGCTGGGTATTTATACATTTATCTTTACACAAAATTTGTTTGCTAGAGCTCTATATAGATACATGTATATTTGTTTGATCTTCAATTTACAGACCAAGAAAATTAACTGGGGACATGACTAGTGATACACACAGACACGCACACAGTCAAGTATGCTTTATTCAGGCACTGTGATCAAGTGATAAGAACATTAATAGGGCTTGACTGTGTTGGGATCATAGTTACCTCCGAAATTCCTGGCAAGCTTGTCATCCTCTGTAGATACCGGATCATTGGGTACATTCATGTCTTTCGTCACATTCTGTTTCACCTCGGATGGAGGAGGTGAGGTATCCACATGTGTGACACTGTAAGCAACAGGCCCTGATGTGGGCGGGGTCACGTTTTTGAATAGTCCAGCCCATGTCGGTGCTTTAACAGGTTTCGGCTGTTCCGACTGAATTGGAAGACTAGGACTACTTACATTCGCGAGCTTGAGATCGCCACTTCCTTGTTGAACGGTGTTTACATCACTAGAGTCTGGTAATTCGTTAACTACATTACTATAATCACTATTCACACTTTCTATAATTGGTTCTGGTTTAGTTTGGTGAACAGACTCACTGACTTGGTGAACCGGTTCAATGACTTGGCGATCAGATTCACCGACTGTTTGATTAGGTTCACCGAGTTGAACATTTACAATATACTGTTCACTAGGTGGCACCACTTGTTGATCAGCCTGCACTGTGGGAGTATTTCTTGGTGGTGAGGGCTGTTTTTCATAATTGTCTTGTATATTAAAGTCAATGGAGTTTAATGAAACTGCAGCTGCCACTGATTGGTTAAGATGATAACTAGGAGCATTAAATCCTGGTGGTCTGTTTACACGAACACCTGTATTAGAATCTGCTGGTTTGTTTTCCATGACAGGAATTACATTGTTAGAATTATAGACTGTATTATCAGTCTGTGGACCCTGATGGTGATGATGTTGATGATGATGTGCATAGCTAGGGTTTTCTCCCCTTGTGTTTTGTGACACACTGAGATCAGACATTTGGTGCGACACATTTTCTAACTCACGATCCACAGGTGGATTAGTTAGATGCTGTACAGTCTGTGGATTAGAGATATGTTGTGGAAGATAAGATGTGGATGAATTTTCAGGTGGGACATTATGGCTACCCTGGTCCATATGATGGGAGGCCTGGGGAGATGAACTGTAGGTATAATTTACTGCTGGATTCTGACGTGATGGTGGAACACTGCTCATGTTTCTATTGATATTCTGCTGAACAGGGGTGGGATATGACCCCATTGCCATGTTGCCCATTGGTGGTGGTGGGCCATGACTGGGGAATGATGTTTCACGATATGTCTGAGATTGGTCCATTATACCCATGCGTGCTTCCTCTCGGGGGAGAGAAGCTTCTCGCAATATCTGTGGGTTGTTCACTGTCCCCAAATGGGCTCCCTCCCTTGGAAGAGAGCCCCCATGCCTGGCATCTGGTGCATTTCCTGTGGCCATCACAGCAGGATCCTGTTGAGGAATAGAGCCCTGGTGCATTGTTTGTGAGGGATGTACCCTGACCATGGCGGGAGGGGCACCTTGCTGGGGGAAGGGCCGTTCCTGGACTGATGGGGGGACCATGCCAATTCCAGGAGGTCTCTGCTCATGGTAAGGAGGCGGTGTATGTTGTGATACAGGTGAACCCATGTGTCGTACCTCTGCAGGTACTGGCGGGTAATTGAGTGGCATAAAAGAAAAGTTTTGAGGTGAGACCTGTCCAATTGCACTGTCTGCCCAGTTTCCCACATTGGACTGGACAAGGTCAGTCTGAGACTTTCTCTCAGCCTCCTCCAACTTTTCGTAATAACCAGGAGGACGTTTCTTTTTGTTCCTACGTTGTTTTCCTCCACCCTGGGACATTTCTGACTGACTTGGGTCGTAACCAAATTCAACTGAAGAAGCTCGGTAAGTCTGATCCTCTCTAGGAAACTGGTTTCCATAAAATTCATCCTGCTGACCTTCCTGATAAGCCTGTCTATATTCTTCATTTTCTTGTGAGTTCATCTGTTCATGGATGACCTCCATATGCTGTTGGTACTGCTGCTGTGGAGGGCCGTCACTATGGTAATGTTGATAATTAGGGATGGGGTCTGTGTTCATATTCACTGGCATACAGTTTGTCTCTGGTGGGGCCACCATGTCTCCTCCCTGGGCTGTAAACAAAGATCAAATCAGAGACAAAATGTTGGTATTCAAATATTAAAATTCATTAACCATCATTTTTTTATGGAAGATATATATGTTAGTGTGCAACTCATAAAACACTTGTGCAAAATTTGAATGAAATCAATCTGCTAGTTTTGGAGTAATTATTGACATATAAGCGGGCGTTCTTCTCTATAAAGAGGGAGAAACTGAAAATTTGAAAATCATGTGCACAAGTGTGTATATGTAATATGTAAAAACTGAAAATGTAATTGACATTGGTCCAGTAATTAAGAGTTGCATAGACAAATAATAAAAAAAATAACTCATTTTTTTTTAAATATTTGTCTATGCAACAGGTTTTTTGTCTGTGTATATTTTTATCAATTTAGGATATTGTCTGATGATCGAAAAAGTCAATACCAGAGGACAGAAAATGAGAAAAGCTGCATATGGCAAATATAATTCTTACTAATGTACCCTTAAGTAATTCAAAATGGCAAAAAATGTGCCAAAATGTTTGAAACAAAACATCAAAGTGAGGTTAATGACTACATGATGAACTGTCAAGATCATATGTACAAAGTGCCATTGGAGTTTCAGTCTTGAAGTTTAAAAGGAGTGACAGGGACAAACATTTTTAATGGTCAGAAGATATGATTTCAGTATCACTATCAACATTCCTCCCAATTTTATTGCAGGGCATCTATAAATACTGGACTGATTATGAAAGAATATTGCTGCCTCTATCAAGAGAAATCACAGTGACGTAATGTTTACCGACACTGAAGTATAGGGACTGAGAATTACTCTGTACATACAAACCAAAATGTCCAGACAAAATATGCTTTAACTTCCATTGCACATGAAAGTCTCATTTCACACGGTTTCATTGTACACAAAAACTGAAGTGTCCAGACAATCAAACAAGGTTAAGTTGTACATAGAAACCAAAGTGTCCAGACTAACAAGGTTCTACTGTGTGTACAAAACGAAAATGACCAGATTGACAAGGTTTCAAACAATAACTTTCAGGAGAGTTCTTGCTGCCATTCACTACATGTGTGGGCTTCAACTTACCAGTGTCATTTTGGAACATGCTACCTCTGGATTCATCCCAGGGGAACTGCAACATAAATTAATTGTATCATATATAGCCAATAACAAAACAACAATGTATAGGGAAGTCATAGGGAGACCAAAACAGCATTAAGGGACAGATGATATCATTGGGAAATGGGCCAATAGCGATCCAGCCCAGCTTTCAAGCGAGTCCTCCCCTGGAATGTGCGTAACACAACTAACTCTGATATAAACTTAGTTCAAATTTCTCAATTTTCCCCCTGTGTGCCTTGACTGTTCCATATTATGTTGTAGGATATATGTTACTACATATTTTCATTAGCCATCAATAGTGGATTTATCCAGATATGATTTTAATCACATTTGCTAAAAAAACAATTAAAGTGAGATACTTGGAACAATTAATTGGTTTGCACTCCAAAAAACTTGGAAAACAAATTGGACTAGATTTTTCAAAACTGTTGTATACATATTAAAACAACAGGCACCACATGGACACAAACTGTAAAATGTATTAGCCACAGGCATCAGTTTTTTAAACACCTTGTAAAAGTCACTACATGATACTTACTATATATATATACATCACTTAACAGAATGGACCTCACAAGATCCTACTTATAAAATTTATATGGACCCACCTCCACTTTTCTATCTCCCGTAGAACTGCGTGGCCCATACAGAATCTTTCTGATGTTGTTCTGCTCATGTTGGTCCAGGGTATCGAAGTCCCCAAACGTTAAATCCTACGAAAATAAACACATTTCACTGGCATAAAGTGTTGTTGTAAAACTCATTACCGAGCCATGCTAAGTAACTTTAATTAACTCAGAATAGAATTACTGTTATCAGACTTTTCACTGTATGCTATCATGGAAACCTTACATAATTATATTAAACCTTAAACTCATTCACCCCATGAAGGCATATTTGAACTCTTCCGATTCAAAGGTTGGAATGGTTTATAATGAAATGTCAGGGGTGAAGGAGTTAAAAGAGTATAGTAATGTAACACCTTTTTCCAGTATCAATATACTGTGTATGACGTATTGATAGATTCAACAGGAGCAATATTTTACTGACCTAGGTGATTGGTTGTCAACAACACAAATGCGACCAAGATTTGAAACAGTTTAACAGTCTTCAACTAGCATTAGAGTAATAAAATAAAACTCCTGAGCAATGAAAGATATTTTTTCAGTTAATATTTTGTAAATTTTCTCCTATCTTCAAGTTATCAGAAAGCAAGCTGCAATGAAAATACAATATTTTATACTTTAATATTGAAATAATATCACAAGCTTAGATCAGTGAACACTAATAGTAATATAAGCATTAAATTTGTTGATTTGAATTTTTTCTTTCAACAGCTTTCTAAAGGTATCTCTTCTATAGCTCCTTTGTCTTTGATTTCACATACAAACATAGAACACAAATGAAGATGTGGTCAAGAAATGATTTAAACAAGGGTACATCTAAGCTTGTGATATAAATCAATGTCCATATTTTTTTTTCAAAACATGACTAAGACTCCTTGGATCAAATCTACACCTTTCAGAATACTGTGGTAAAACATTCTAGACCTCTTAGCCTCCAAATCTGGCTGCCATTCAAATTCTACAGCATTATCATGCACAAGCTTAAGTCTTAAAATTTAGAACTTGCACACCAAAGACAATTGTTTTTAGTAAATTAATCAAAATTTCATTCTGTCTATAAGAAATCAGAATAATTTATACTTATTTCTAATAGACAGAATGAAATTTTGAAAAAATACTCCCGTTTTATTTACTAGTATTTAGTACTTCCTAACAGCAAGTTATGAAGAAAGTAATTCTACATAAGCATTTTTCCTTCACTACCATAATTGTCGTATATGCACATCATAGGATAAGGAAATAATACCACAGACACTTGGTCTATGAAGTAATTGAGTAAATGCATGATGTGATTCTCAGAGACATTCACATACTGTGCTTTTCAAGGTGATTGTCTGTGTGAATTATATTGTAGCTATATAGGTCGACCGTTTATTTCAAACACTCAGCAATAAAAGGGTTATAGTAACACCTGAACAGGTAAATGGTATATAACTGTATTTTTTTTTTTTATTCAGCCTTGAGGTAATAGCATAGGTGTTTGAAATTCTGACTGAATTGAGATAAAAATCATATAAAAAATAAGGGTATTACTATATAATATAATATCTTTTTTTATATAGTAATACCCTTATTTTTTTATATGATTTTTATCTCATTTCACAGTCAGAATTTCAAACACCTATGGTAAATGGTAATAGAAAGTAATCTTCAAAATGTTTATTAAAGTTTACTTTCACTACTTCAACTTTGCTCATAATGCATCTGCTCCAAGGGTATTGTTGACATTTGTTTAAAAAAAAAATCAGTAAACAATATCCTCACTTACATATTCCCCACCAGAAAATCATCCTTCTCGCATATATTACAAATCAGCCCAATGTCAACAAGATCATTTCAATTTCATTTGTCCTAAAATAATGTCAATGTCAATTGAAGACACCAAGTCTGATAAGTGAATCTTAGTAATATTCTAGCAGTTGAAATTTAACCGAAAACCTTAAATGCCTTCAAGCTGTCATATTATTATTATTGTAAACTTTCCCAAAACACATGCCCCCCCCTTTCCGTCCCATCCTGCCGTTTCCGCATGCGGCACGTTTGTTTCAAAACAGCAACATGAAGAAGAGAACATCAGTGACAACAATATTTTGAAATATGTCCCTTAATACTCTTTGTGAAGGAAACATTGTGATTTTTTAAATAACCTGTGTTTGGTAAGCCATGGTGAAAAGGAATTTCTGATGTGTCACAAAACACGCTTCTTTGCCGCCATGTTGGGTAAAATTTTCGGCTCAGTCGTGAAATCACTTCCGGTAAAGAATTTAAAAAGGGGAATAACTTGATGTACTTACTATGTTTCGGCTAATGCATGCCGGTCCTATGGTGTAATGGTTAGCACTCTGGACTTTGAATCCAGCGATCCGAGTTCAAATCTCGGTAGGACCTCTTTTTTTTTAATTTTTGTCTTGTTTTTTTCTTAAATTTACCTTTTGAACTTGCTCACATCTGTATATGCAATTAAACAGATTTTCATATTTTTTGGAGAATTTATTTATTATTGGCGCTGTTGAGTTTACAACTCAGTTAGTCTGCCATGATAATTATTTGATTTTCTCCTATCAAACATGATTTATGCAGAGACGTATATATGCCAAGATTTTACAGTTTAGATATCTCCACTCACAAAATATGAAAAATAATATAAGCCAAGGTTTTATAAGTCCTTATTTAGAATGGTAAAATTAATTTGATGCACACAAACAAATAAACAAATTAATAGTTGAATTTTGACCTAAAGAGTGACATTGTCGTTATAGTGAGGTTATGAAACTGACATTCAGCTGTGTGGTATGAGTGCATCTATTTAGATTGTGTACATTTACAGGCCTCCTCCATCTAACCAGAATGCTTTCCGAAATACAGTGGGTTTTTTTGACGAATGGTCTACCTTTTTAGACCACCAAGTTGTTGTACCACAAGAGATTATTACCACGGGTGATCTAAATTTCCACACGATCTATCTAATGTTGATGCTCGCCAGTGATTACTTTCTGAATAAAATCGGCCCAATCAGGAAAAATATTGCCGTAGTGAACTCTTCTGCTGACATTGATATCTCTGTCATGACTGCTGACATTGAATTTGATGGGGAACCATTGGCAAAGCTTTCACCAACAACCCAGGATGAGTTGCGCAACATCATCATGACCTAGCAATCGACGTCCTATGAGTTTGATCCACATTAAAGCAATGTCTCGAAGCACTGCTTCCTTTGATTACCTTTATCATGAACAAATCATTGGCTGAATCAAAGGTTCCATTGTGTTTCAAGAAGACACATGTCAAATCATTGTTAAAGAAGCCTGGAATGGACAAAGAGGAGCTGAAGAACTACCGCCCAGTTTCAAATCTGCCTTTTCTGTCTAAAATCTTGGAGAAGGTTGTGGTCCGGCGTTTGGAGGTTCATCTTCACGCAAACAGTCTCCATGACAACATGCAATCGGTCTACCGCATGGGACACTCTACTGAGACGGCCCTCCTACGTGTACCTGCTGGACTTGTCAGCTGCGTTTGACGTCATCGACCATGGCATACTTTAAAACGTTAAAAAAAGCTGTTAAAAACCTAGGGGTATATTTTGATAGTTCACTGAACATAGAGAAACAAGTGAACGCTATTGCCAAATCCTGTTACTATCAGATCAGGAACATCGGCTGTGTATTCGGCAGTTTATAACTGCAGATGCATGCAAGAGTTTGGTGCATTCACTTGTGCATTTCCTATTTTGTGTTTTGTTACAAAATGTTATATATAACATATACTGATGTTATATGATATATAAAATGTTATATAACTGTTCTGTTTCACTGTGTCTCGAAAATTTGACAACCTAAACTTGTCCACACTGTTGGAATTACTTCTTTGCCCCATATTCTATTTGAAGTAATCCTACGGACATGGGATTTTACCGTCTATGTTATAATAATTGAAATACTTGAATAAAAGAAAGTTTAAACTAAAAAGATTGGTAAGGTTCTACCGAGATTTGAACTCGGATCGCAGGATTCAGAGTCCTGAGTGCTAACCATTACACCATAGAACCGGTTATGTTCCTGTGAAAAAAATATTCTTTATATATTTCTTTCAAAAAAAATGCCCGGTTCTATAGACTGTGGGAATTAAAGAAAGGTATAATCCGATTAATCCAATTGATTTGCCATCGTGTTTTTTATTTACATCTATTTTCAATCGAATATGGTGGCACGCATCAGGCATATTTGTATTCACCAGCCACACTCATTTCCGGCTTTCTCCAAATGACGTCACTGACCGATTAGGAACTCCCTCCAAAATAAAGATGTCTGCGCCTATATTTGACACTGATAGCGAGGATGAGCTGCCACCTGGTTGGGAGGAGAGGGTGACGCTTGAAGGGAAAGTTTTCTACGCAAAGTATGTTTCTATATTGCACTGGTGGATTCTCGAATTGCTGCATTTTTTACTCAATGTATCGAATGTTACAGAAAAGGAAAAAAGCAACGGCCAGTCTGGGATTCGAACCCGGGAACTCCGAACTGTACTGACGGATGCTCTAACGTATTGAGCTAGGCCTACCTGGTCGTTGCCGAATGGCCCATTCTTGTTCCAATGCACTGGACTAGGCATGATGAATATGAGAAAGAATATCCTTCCAGCAACCGACTCTGCCCCTCATAACTAATATGAATCCCTATTAAACAGTTTGGGTACAACGGCGCAGTAACAATTTTATTACTGAGACTGGGGCCCAGGATATAAAAACACATAAAGTTCTTTTTAACACTTGGAGTAAAAAAGGGCGTTATTCTTTCAACTAAATCCATTAACATATAACACCATGAAGTACATTTGTTCACAAAAAGTTATCAATTCTGATGTATCATTTTGTAAAAATGGCAAACCATTATCACTTTGCTCTCCATTGATTCAGTGTGTTGTCAATGGAATTATGCGAATGTGACAGTTGAGCAGGGTTTTTTTCTGTGTGCTATTTATAGCTTCTCTACAACACACTATATACAACTGAATTAACAAATGGTGCATAAATGTACCTCATTGAATTTTTTATTGGGTTTTGTTGATAGAATGAAAAGAACTTTATGCGTTTTTATTTCACTTTATTCCCCATCTCAGTAATAAAATTGTTACTCAAATGGTTAACTGTTACCCAAATGCAGGATTATTACCCATACGCGCCGCTGTGCCCAACCTGTTAAATAAGGCAAAAAAATGTGTGGCATTATTACATAATCAAATAAAGAAATTGCCCTTCCATGTGTTTTTCTTTTTCATGTCCATCTAATCAGAAGGTAAAAAATTGCAGTAAAACAAGCCATATTTTAGCTCACCTTCAGTAAGGGCAAGTGAGCTTATGCCATGGCGCGGCAACTTTTCCTAAAAATCGCTACAAGTCATAAACGACTGAGCAGATTTTGACCAAATTTGGTCAGAAGCATCCTTAGGGAAAGGGGAACAAGTTTTGTATAAATGGTGGGTCTGGCCCACCTGAGGGCTGAGGGGCAGGGCCCAATAGGGGAAATATAGCAAATTCTTTAAAATCCTGTTTCTTCTGCAGGAATGAAAGGATTTGTTCCATATTTTGTCTGAAGCATCCTTGGGGGAAGGGGAACCAATTTTGTATAAACCGTGGGTCTGGCCCGCGAGGAAAAATAGGAAAATTCCCATCAAACTTGATAAGACCCCCAAGGGTTCATATTTATATCATGTTAGTGACAAGTTATTATGAGATGTCCCACAAAACATGATTCCTACACTGTATCAAGGGAGGTGCTTGTCACTATAACACCAGACAGGAATGACATGTCTCCGTCTCTAACATATCACCATCTCTGTCATTGGACAGGAATTACATGTCAATATTTAACATACATTCATATATATATATATTTATATATACTTCCAGTCACGGTTCCAAGGCTACCCAGTGGGAGCATCCCGGATCTGGCAAGAAGAAAATTGTCAAGGGAGGTAAGCACAGACATTTATTTTGATGTAGCTGAAAAATTTAGATATTCTGATGAGTCTGGACAAAAAAGGATGACTGATTAGTGAAAAGAGATAAGTATCTAATTATTTGTTTTTCCTTTTGAAGATTTGCCGTTTGGATGGGAGAAGAAGATTGCTGATGATGGTACAGTGTTCTATGTGGAGTAAGTTATTGTCCAGTTAACCCATTCACCCCTGAAATTTCATAATGAACGATTCCAACCTTTGAATTGAAAGAGTTCAAATGTGTCTTCAGGGGTGAAAGAGTTAATTAAGACCAACTGTAATGACTGAGTCCATAAAACATGCAGGGTGTGTACATAGATTTATCCGGTCATGTTTGTTGATTTTAGTTAATTAACTAACAGAAACCCATAAACAGACTTCAAATAATTCCAGAAACTTCTGGGGAACCTTCTTTAACAACATATATTACAGTACATTTCACTTAATGTCACGTCGCTTAATGTCACTTTTCCCTGCTTTATAATCTATGCAATTCAATTCTTTTATTATCACCTGATTTTATGTCGATTTCTCTTAATATCACTTTATTTTGGCCACAGTCACCAAAAAAATACAGGTAAATGGTGGTAATGATTCATGATAAATGCCCTGGGGACCTTCTGTCACACCCTGGACGCATTATGTAAACAATGCCTCAGCCTAACAGGGTATTTTTTACACCTGGCTGACTGTCAAACAATAGGTTACACCTGGCTGACTGTTAAACAATAGGTGACTTACATACTTGTTAACATGATATTCACCTGTGGTTGGGGGAGTCTAACATCTGTAAACTTTTCTTTAATGCCTAGTGTGATGTATTCTTTCAACTAATTATAACATGTGTACTATCTTCGATTACACACTTGCAGCAAATATCTAAAGAAATTAACCTATAAAAAGATATTACTAGCGAAAGAACAGTATATATATCAAGATAAAGGTAAATATTTACCAAGTCTCATGTTTACAATTGAATTTGATGCAGACAAACACTTGTATGCCTTCATCACTACTGCAGTAAACAATCATAATTACGATAGTACTGATCGTCATTTTGCTACTAACTATATGAAATGTAACTGCATACTGAAATGAAATACTAATAATATATTTATTTCTATACTTATTTACTTATATCTATATTTCAACTAGAGTAAAGAACAAGGTTAGTTACAAAATATCAATCTTCTTCGTAGAGCCACATCACTTAGGCATTTGACTAAGTTCACTTCCGGTTTTGAGGGCTGAAAAACGTCAGAAAATATGTATTCTGTTTTCTCTGACAAATGGGAAGTGATATTAAGAGAAATCTACTGTATAATAAAACCTGTTATAACTCAAGAGAACAATTATAATAAATGCCTTTATTTTCTGTATGATAACCTAAACAATGCATGCTATAAAGGATCATGTAAATGTAAATGGTGGTATTGGTGTTGTTAACGGTAATTTTAATGACGTTCATGAATTGGTTAATGTTGGTATTTATTGAGCCACTTCGTTTATCGTGATCCAAAGGGTTGGACCAGAGTTGTTATTTTATGAAACAAGGTCGGACCTAGTAATCTGATGCTGCTTTTAGGCAAGCCTTGATCAAGCCTTGATAAAGCCTTTCAAGGCCTGCATAAACATTTTAAGGTCCGCCAGGATTTATACCTTGAAAATGTTACATTTAAAAACAGGCAAACCGATTGAACTGCAAACGCGAAAGGGGCCTTGGTGTAAATTGATTTTTTTAATGGTCACGTAAAATGTTTAAATTGATGTTGGTAATGATTTCATTAATTTTTTTCCTTTACAGCCATATAAACTCCAGGACAACATACACTGACCCTAGACTTGCATTTGCAGAGGAAGTGAAGAAATCAAAATTTGACATCCGCCAAAAGTTTGATGGAAGTAGCACAGCCCTACAGGTCATCCAAGGTCGTGACCTATCGGAAAAATATGCGATAGTAACTGGAAGTAACACTGGAATAGGTAACTGTGATGTAGTAGTGAGTGGTATTCAGATAACAGTATCTCAACCCATGTTTGAGGATGGTTTTGTATTGGACTGTAATATCAAGTGTGGTTCTATTGCAGATTATCTCCCTTTAACCATATATAGTGATTTGTTTCTGAATAATAATTGTAATTGATAACCATTATTCCTTTAATGATATTACCAAAAAATCGAGTGTTTTTATTGTCACACAGCTGTTCTTGTTTGCTAAATGATGTATTAAATGATTGCTTACAAAATCATGTCAAAACTCATTGCAAAACATATACAAATTTCGAGATATACATGATATAATGCATTATTATATTTTTGTTGTTCAAGGTTTTGAAACGGCGAGAACGTTGGCACTTCACGGAGCTGTAGTTATAATGGCGTGTAGAAACACTACAGCAGCGATGGAGTGTCAGGCAGCCATTTTGAAAGAGCGTTCCTCAGCAACTGTGGAGGTCATGAACCTTGACCTGGCCTCGCTGAGCAGTGTCCGTGCTTTCGCTGAGGAGTATAAACGCAAGAAATGGTAAATTACTTTTGTTGTTATGAGTGATAAAGATAGAGACTGTGGAAAAACTGAGGAAAGTGTTTGATACACAAAATAATAGAAGCAGAAGTAGAAGCATTTTATAATAATAATAATATACAGCATTTATATAGCGCTCTATATAATTTGTAAAATTACTCTAAGGCGCTTTACAACATATGGATAATAGTAATGGTTGTAATTGTGAAAACAAACAACAAAGGCTTGCAATCACTTTCATACATTTAACAAGCAATGTGCACATAATTGAACAAATAAAAGGGTGGTATTTACATGACGTCTTTGCAAAGATTCTAAAATGCAGACGTGAAGAGGTGAGTTTTTATGTCCCTCTTGAACTTGGCCAAGGTATTTGACTTCCTAATAGCAGATGGTAAGCTATTCCACAACGTAGCCGAAACCCTCCCAAAGCATCTGTTTCCGTAGGTCACATTATGAGATTTTGGGACACACAACAAAGATTCTGACTCCGACCGCAGTGATCTTGACGGCTGATACAGGTTAACAAGTTCCTGTAGGTACTGAGGAGCTGTTCCATTCAGTGCCTTGTATGTGTATACCAGAATTTTGTACTGCGACCTGTATCGTACAGGTAACCAGTGCAACAAATAAAGCACAGGTGTAATGTGCTCTCTCTTTCGAGTACGAGTAACTAGCCGTGCTGCAGTGTTCAAAATTTTCCAGCATTTTCAGTTGAAAAAATTACCTGTGCAAATTACATAGGTGTGCAAATAACACGGCATAGATCTGCAGTATCACTCAAGATTGTGTCAGTATTTTGTAGATTATTGCCAATGTCCAAACCTTGTGATTGAAACCTTAGTTACCATTGATGAGCTGTGAAAGATAGAGTTAACCCTTTCACCCCTATGTAACTTGAGTAGACTCTACCATGCATTGATCTGGATGAGTCCATTATGGTCTACAGTGGTGAAAGGGTTAATTAAATGGCTACCAGAATGACTAAGTTTGGTATAATGTTTGAAAAATCCATCACTTCAACTAGTGAAACAATTACAGCATTTATTAGCAGTTTTAGGGTAATAAAGCCTCTAACTGTTGCTACTCAACTTTTGGGTGATGGTTACTAGGCCTCAGTTACGAAGTATTTGGGTGATGGTTACTAGGCCTTAGTTACGAAGTACTTGGGTGATGGTTACTATGCCTCAGTTACGAAGTATTTGGGTGATGGTTACTAGGCCTCAGTTACGAAGTATTTTAATGATGGTAACTAGGCCTCAGTTACGAAGTATTTGGGTGATGGTACTAGGCCTCAGTTACGAAGTATTTGGGTGATGGTTACTAGGCCTCCGTTACAAAGGATTTGGGTGATGGTTACTAGGCCTCAGTTACGATGTATTTGGGTGATGGTTACTAGGCCTTAGTTACGAAGTACTTTGGTGATGGTTACTATGCCTCAGTTACGAAGTATTTGGGAGATGGTTACTAGGCCTCAGTTACGAAGTATTTGGATGATGGTTACCTGGCCTCAGTTACGAAGTATTTGGGTGATGGTTACTAGGCCTCCGTTACGAAGTATTTGGGTGATGGTAACTAGACCTCAGTTAAGAAGTATTTGGGTGATGGTTACTAGGCCTCAGTTACGAAGTATTTGTGTGATGGTTACTAGGCCTCAGTTACGAAGTATTTGGGTGATGGTTACCTGGCCTTAGTTACGAAGTATTTGGGTGATGGTTACTAGGCCTCAGTTACGAAGTATTTGGGTGATGGTTACTAGGCCTAAGTTACGAAGTATTTGGGTGATGGTTACTAGGCCTCCGTTACGAAGTATTTGGGTGATGGTTACTAGGCCTCAGTTACGAAGTATTTGGGTGATCATTTTCTCCCTGGTCTGTTCCTTGGCATTGAGGTGTTTGTCTCCCATACTTGATGGTATTCAATGCTGATTAATAGAATCTTCCCCTACCTTGAGGGTGTGACATAAAAATGTCCAACCCTAGGGGTGATGTTATTTGGTTGTCTAACCCGAGGCTCTGCCGAGGGTTTGACAACCAAAAACATCACTCAGAGGGTTGGAGATTTCTCTGTTAAACCCTCAAGGTAGGGGATGATTATTTTTCTCCCATCCTATTATTTCAGTGACAACTTCACCGACAGTAGTCTGTTTGTAAACAAAAACACATATGGGGTATGAATATCGTCATTCTCTTTTGATGACGTCAAAATTACTGGTGACGCATTTTAATGAAGTCACAATTGAAAACGTGTTAATCGGAACGAGGCTATCTCCCCCTAGGGAGTGACAAACTGATCTTTTCCGGCTAAAACGAGAGACACACCTTTGAAGGGTGAGAGAAATGGTTGTCTTCTCCCTGACTTGTCGGTATTCAATTTTAGGGTATTTGTCTTCCCTTACATCTGTTGGTATTCAAAAAATCAGTGTTTGTCTTTTCTCTGCATATGTTGATGCTTAATACTAGAAGTTGTCTTCCAAATATGACATGTCATAATAGTGTCAAAGTTGCCTATCAGTATCTTCAGCTGGAGGGATTTTCCCTTTAGCTTAGTGGTAGAACATGGGACTAGAAAATCTAGGGTCGCTGGTTAGGTCACCTATAGAGACAACCTTTTGCTTGGTAGTCCACAGTGCTAGTTCGATAGATTATTTGCTACTCCTCTGTCAGTGTACTTGTCCCAAGATTTCCTTAATGAAACATTGGAAGCATGAGGCATATAAGTTAATTGACTGCAGGGACATCAAATAACTACAGCCATAAACACATGTTGAAGTTTTAGGAAAATTTCGATAATTCTTTTGCAATATATGTGTATTTTAAGTAGTTTTCCAAAAGGCATATTCTGAATTTGTGATCTATCTGTCACATGATATTGTGATCCTGTAACATATCTATATTGTGAGTCCAATGGACCAGTAAGGTTAGTTGAAATCTACTAGTCTCTGACTAGAGGACTCGTGTTACTGATGTCTTGTTTGTTGCTCCTTCCTATTACACAAATACACCTGGCCCGTATTCATGAAACCGTTCTCATGCTCAAGTATGGAATTTGTGCCCAAGCCGAATTTCTTGTTCTAGTTATAAATTCATAAACAAATCTTATTTTTTCAATGATTTGGAAAAACATTGAAGAGACTTAAAGCCGAAAACTGTTTCAATGTTTACATTTGACATTTTGATGGTTTGACAAGACTTAACCGAGTTGCAAGAAAGCAGGTATGAGCACAGAACCCATGCTTGAGCATGAGAACGGTTTCATGAATACAGGCCCTGTTGTTACTCAATAATATGAAGTTTGTCGTCCCTTTACACCTGTACTCATACTCAAATGTCTGTGTTGCAGGCCCTTACACCTGTTGGTTCTAAATGCTGGAGTTTTTGGAATGCCCTACACAGCCACAGAGGATGACCTTGAGACTACATTCCAGGTGAATCACCTGTCTCATTTTTACCTGACCAAACTACTATGGGATATCCTTGTGTCCTCACAGCCAAGCCGAGTTATTGTGGTGTCCTCAGAATCCCACAGGTAGGTAAACTAAATCACAGTGACCTAGTTAAATCTTACCCAAAATCCCACTAAATCACAGTGACCTAGTTACTGGTAATCTAACCCAAATTTCCACAAATCACAGTGACATACTTAACTTACCCCAATTGTGGCAAATCCAAGTGACCTACTTTATCTTACCCCAAATCTTACAAAACACAGTGACCTTCTTAAATTTACCCCAATTGTGACTAATCACGATGACCTACTTAATCTTACCTCAAATCTGACAAATCACAATGACCTTCTTAATCTTACCCCAAATCTTACAGATCACAGTGACCTACTTAATCTTACCACACTAAATCACAGCGACCTACTTCATCTTACCCCAAGTCTGACAAATCACAGTGACCTACTAAATCTAACCCCAATATCCCACTAAATCACAGCGACCTACTTAATCTTACCCCAATCTTACAATTCTCAATGACCTTCTTAATCTAACCCCAAGTCTGACAAATCACAGTGACCTTCTTAATTCTACCCCAAATCTGACAAATCACAATGACCTACTTATTCTTACCCCAAATTTGGGGGGGGGGGGGTGTCTTGTTGTGGGAGGAAACCGGAGTGCCTTTAAAACTAACTGCAGTCCAAATAGTCTATGCTATAGACTATTTGTCACGTCCGATCGGGGAATCGAACCCCATCCGCCTTGGTGAAAGGCAAGTGCGCTATCCACTGCATCACCTGACCACCCCAATAATTTACAAAATTTAATCAGGGCAAACCTATATATATTGATTAAAATGACCTACTCAATAGATGATTTAATTGAAAAGTTCAGTAGAAGAAAAATGGTCTTAAAGTGTAAAAATGGAGAAGCTGGTTTATATTTTAATGGATTTATTTTTAGAAAACAACATTATTGGTGATGAAGTGAGGTCAAAGCAAATGAAGTATACAATGTATAATATATTGGATATATTTCAGGGCTACAGATCTGACAGTTGAGAATATCTCTGTGGACAAGTTATCACCAGGCAAAGCCAAGTACAGTGACCTGTGGGCCTACAACCTCAGCAAACTGTGCAACGTCCTCTTTGCATTCCACCTCAACAAACTACTGGCTCCACAAGGAGTCGTCTGCAACTCCCTCCACCCTGGCAACCTCATGAGCTCAAGTCTGATGCGAAACTGGTGGCTGTATAAACTCCTTGCCTTTGTTGCAAGGCCCTTCACAAAGAACATGGTAAAAACCTTCATCTTTACCTGGCATATATTATATTCAACTCATTACCCTTGCACTCATCATAGGTATTAAATGACCAGTACTAGCTCGTCAGGTCAAACATACAACACGAGACAGTCCTAAGTTGTGGTGAAACCAGTTGGCAAGTAATAAAGTATTCTACTTAGTAATACTTTTCTTGTGAAGCTGGTTAATGTAAAGAACACTCCCACTAACTATACTTTATATAAAAACTCAGTTATTATGGAAGGACATGCAGCCCTTCATCTAGCATAAGATACAAAAACTCATTACCACTGTAACTCACCTGGTATTACATAAGAATCAACATCTTGTGGCCCTTTACCTAGTATAACTATCTAACTCAATACCATTCATACCCATTCCAGAAGGACATGGCAAGTATCCTTATATTACGGCCTTCCATTTGGAGACAAGGTAGTCTAGTGGTAGGACGCCGGGCTTATGACCAAACGGTTGCGGGTTCGAGTCACGGCACGGCACTGTGTTATATCCTTGAGCAAGATACTTACTCTGCTTGTTCGAGTCTACTCAGCTGTAAATGAGTATGTGATTGGGCAGTGCTAGAATTGTTGAATGCCTAAATGACAACATTGGCTGTATGCTCCCCAGGGAGTTGAGAAAGATATTGGCTGGTTGCAAATTAAAGGCCCTATAACTATGGATAATAATTTGTGAACCGCTTTGAGACGACCTACTAACTAGGTTGTGATAAAGCAGTATATAAGAACCGCAAATTATTTTTAATTCTTTAGTATAAAAAGATATAAAAGATATAAAAGTGGGTACCACTATAGCTCTTTAGTGAGGCTGTAATAAAGAGCCAACTTCTCATGGCCCTTCACCTAGCATAATATAAAATCTCACTACGCACAGTTTTTCAGTGAGGATGGAAACAGAACTTAGTTGGTTTGCATGGATCTTCATCTGGCATAGATATTAAACTCAAAAATACTGCAATTCTTGAGTCAGGGTATTTGTTCTGTAGCTTGTTAAGTTGGAGAGTGTCCTTAACACGCTTTCAAGATCACATTGGTCAAATATATTAAAAATGAAATAAAAAATCAACCAGATTATGGATTAACTCCCTTTGGCCTTATAATAATTTCTACGAATATCAAACTGGATAATTTTTTTCAACAGATTTTTTTGTATTTTCACCAGCAACAAGGTGCGGCAACGACAATTTACTGTGCAGTATCCCCCGATCTGGGAGATTGTGGGGGGCTTTATTTCAACAACTGTTGTCGCTGTGAACCCTCTAAAGCTGCACAGGACGGCCAGCTGGCACAGAAACTCTGGGACATAAGTGAACAAATCCTTGCGACAAAGACACCAACAGAGGAGCTGACAGATACATAACACAAGGTCAGTCTGTATTCCTTATATTAACTGAGATTCACTTATATTTGTGAGATTTATTTTCTCAATTAAGAAAAACAATTTTGCAAATACATGCACTAGCAATTTTTACATGGATAACATATATGTTAATTCTAAATAACTAATTCAAATTATCAAAAACATTTCACGCATTTCTTGTTATTTCTTTCTGCTACGACCTTTTATTTGTAGCATTGATTTTGGCACAGGCAGACTTCAAAGTTGTTACATACAAAATTACCTTTCGGATGCTTCCATGGAATGACCAGGCTTTGACTTGTATAATGTTGAGAAAATGAATCCTCACAAAAAATTAATGGTTCACAGAATAACACATGTAACTGGTCATTCTTGTGGATGTCTGTGTGATTCTAGTTCAAAAACTACTGTAGAACAAATTACGTAGGCCTAGTGGGCCTCTTGTTATACAGGAAATTAACTCATTCACCCCTAAAATCACATTTGAACCCTACCAATTTAATGACTGGGCAAGTCCACTTTAGATATGTAGGGGTGAATGATTTCAACAATGAAAAATGTTGCCATTCTCATTGTTCTGTAATGCAGTTCCAGACTAAAAACATGGCTTTTCCCAAGAAACATACACAAGAAAAATCAGTATTGAGTGATCTTGTTAAAGTTTTTTCATTTATTTGTTATCAATGCTATTTTCAATTCAAGCATTTAAATTGTTGATCTTTACTCAAGCATTGTTAGCTTGTCAGGCTAGCTTAACTTCAGAAGTCTTTGTGGAAGGAGGGTGGAATAAAGCAGATCTGGACAGGGTCATTCATTGGTCAACAGGTGTAGCTCAGTTGGTCTTGGTTTTTATCACATGCCTATGCAACCTTACGATAGTGATACATCATTTTGTCAGATGTGTTTTCTGTCTGCTTGTATCACACATGTGCGATACAAGATCCTGTATCACCACAGTAGCCGGAACTACTTTTTAGGGGAATTCCCTCTACTGACACCCTTAAAAATAGCCTGGTAATTGTATTGAACGTTGTACGTTGTTTACAGTGTTTAAAAATAATAAAAAGTCAATTGTTGACTCAGATGATGAAGATTTTATCTAGATTTCTTGTGTTTTCTGACCTTGGCGCGTGACGTCACTCAGACTCAGCGCGTGCTGTGACGTCGCGAGACTTTGGGAGAATTTGTAATGACCGACATTTAAACTTACATGAATACACGTAACTTTATGCCATTAAATGTGTTGCATTTGAATTATTCTTTGTTATTTTGTATTTCACCATTAATATTTAAAATGTTGTACACCCAAAGGTACAGTTCAGTCTCAAAAAGTCTCTTATCATTCACAGGTCCTGTGAACCATGCAATGACGTTTTTTAAAGCCATGCAATGACTTTTTTTTTTAAATTTGTTTTCTATATCTCAGAATTATCCAAAAAAAACATTATTATACAAAGAATGTATTAAATAAAAATAAAAGAAATACATTATCATAAAAAAACACCAAGAAAATGCCATTTTTTTTAATAAAACACAAGTTTCTTATAAAAAAATCCTGGCATTGCATCGACCTGTGTGCCGATGGAAAACGACAAAAAGAGGAAAAACATAAAATGTGCATTTAGTCATATTAGATAAAATTCCTATTTACCAAGGCTACAATAGGGTAAAGTCATGTGATAAAAGCAAAATCACACATATGTGTTGATCTGAGTATTCGAATTGCACTCGTTTGTGGCGCGGAAGGAATATATCACTCGTGCGAAGCGCACTCGTGATATATTCCTCCGCCACCACAAACTCATGCGATCTGAATACTCAGATCAACACATATGTGTGGTTTTGCCTATAAATACTCGTCTAGCCTGTTTGATTTTCTCTGTCGTTTTACATATAACACAATTCAACCATGTGACCTGTGATAGGGTTGTTTATTGATGTCTGAAAGGCATGTGTTTAAAATGTTGTCTTATTATACATTTTACTTAAGTTTAAATTATTTAATAAGCACAGTCAATCTGAGATAGAACCTCTTTTTTTTTGTAATATATTTTGTGGTATAGACTTTGGAAAATTGAATTACACATATTCCAGTTTGAAAGGTTGCAACTTGTGACATGCTTCCTTCAATCTGATGATCAGGTTAACTTTAATGACTTAATTACCTGCTGGTGTTGATGGGTGGTTAGGTATTTAACAAGCAACCAAATACAGGCAGAGAAGCTGTATGACACCTAGCGATATTTTGTTGTTGACATGCTGTTAGGCATCAAACAAGCAAATGTGTAAGCATAACTTGTTTGGCTCTTGGTGATATTTGATCATTGGTTAAATATTAACTAAGTTAACCCTTTCACCACTGTAGACCATAATGGACTCATCCAGATCAATGTATGGTAGAGTCTACTAAAGTTACATAGGGGTGACAGGGTTAACTAACAATCAAATTACGGGGAGTGGGAGATCCCACGTCTGTGCAAAGAGTTCAGCTAAGTTCTGTGTTACCCAGCAGACAGACTCCACAAGGAATACACGAGTCTGGACGTAGTTAGTAGAGTTATCAATACGTAAAGGTGACCATGACAATGTCGTGCTGGTTTTACCAGCTTTAATCAAAATTACGTTAGCTAGTTTCAACACATTAAATGTGTCGTCATCAGAACAGCAGATTAAAGCGAGTTAACCCAGTATGATGTTGTCATGGTCATCGTTACCTATTGATAACTGATTGCCAATTAATAATCATATTAAAGATATGCATCTTGAAGTCCTCCATGCTGTTGTTGCCAGGTGATTAAGCAAATACATGTAAAAAAGGATTCCATGTAAGAACTCTATATATACCTCCCTTCAAACACTGAGTCGGTAGTTCAAATCCTTTGTGGCTTCGACAGTAAAAGTAAGTAGGTGACAATACCAGTCGAGCAGCTGGAAAAATACCTCAGGAGGCTTTGGCTGCTAATCTCATCTTACTATCTAGCAAGGGGATAAGCCTGAAATATTGAATTGCTCAACTGAAAACCATGTAATATCTACACACAGTTATTCTGACGAATATCAATTGGGCATTTTGTAGCCGATTAATTAGATATTTTGCCTAACTGACCAATAGTGAACAAAGTCAATAAATCAGAACCTCTCTAGTATATTGTGTTGATGGGCACTTAGATATAAAACATGCAAAAGATATAAGCTGAAAACATGTATGACTGTTGATACAGTGTACTTAATTTAGTCGACAGACTGTAGGGGATCAAACAAGTACATATCAGCAGGTAATATATGTATCGATACAAGCTTTTGTCGATGAACCACCGATCTCAGTCATTTTTTTTCTGCATTTTATTCACTCATGAAAGTGCTTTGTATTGAATCATTATAACAAAATTTAAACATATGCCTTTTTACGTAATTCCTTTATGATTTGTAGTGTAGCGGTGATCAACAGGTACAGAGATAACAGGATAAGAGTTGCTGGTAACATTACCTATACTCTTCTAAGCGGATTTATGTTGTAAAATTTGACACACTTCCTTGAATAGATGGTGCATGAAACAAACTCTTTTATAACTTGTGTAAATGATCCATCAAATCTGGTTAAGTGTAGACTATATGACACTGGACGAGGACTAGTCTACCTTGGCCACTGCTACTGGGACCTGTGTTACAATGATTGGTTCATCTGGGACTTGTTTCACTGTGACTTTTTAATTTAGGAAATGGGTCACTGTGACTCATTAATTTGGGACATGTGTCACTGTGACTTGTTAATCTGGGACCTGTGTCACTGTGACTTGTTTATCTGGTACCTGTGTCACTGTGACTTGTTTATCTGGGACCTGTGTCACTGTGATCTGTTTATCTGGTACCTGTGTCACTGTGATCTGTATATCTGGGACCAGTGTCACTGTGACTTCTTCATCTAGGACCTGTGTCACTGTGACTTGTTTATCTAGGACCTGTGTCACTATGACTTCTTTATCTAGGACCTGTGTTACTGGGCCCTGTGTCACTGGGACCTGTGTCACTGTGACCTGATAATCTGGTACCTGTGCCACTGTGACTTGTTTGGCCAGTACCTGTGTCACTGTGACTTGTGTATCTGGGACCTGTGTCACTGTGATCTGTATATCTGGTACCTGTGTCACTGTGATCTGTATATCTAGGACCTGTGTCACTGTGATCTGTATATCTAGGACCTGTGTCACTATGACTTCTTTATCTAGGACCTGTGTCACTGGGCCCTGTGTCACTGGGACCTGTGTCACTGTGACCTGATAATCTGGTACCTGTGCCACTGTGACTTGTTTGTATGAGACCTGTGTCACTGTGACTTTTTTTATCTAGGACCTGTGTCACTGTGATCTGTATATCTAGGACATGTGTCACTGTGATCTGTATATCTAGGACATGTGTCACTGTGATCTGTATATCTGGTACCTGTGTCACTGAGACTTGTTTATCTAGGACCGGTGTCACTGTGACTTATTTATCTGGTACCTGTGTCTCTGTGACTTGTTTATCTATGACCAGTGTCACTGTGACTTGTTTGGCCAGTACCTGTGTCACTGTGACCTGTTTATCTGGTACCTGTGTAACTGTGACTTATTTATCTAGGACCTGTTTCACTGTGACTTATTTATCTAGGACCGGTGTCACTGTGACTTATTTATCTAGGACCTGTGCCACTGTGACTTGTTTGTATGAGTCCTGTGTCACTGTGACTTGCTCATCTAGGACCTGTGTCACTGAGACTTGTTTATCTAGGACCTGTGACACTGTGACTTGTTTATCTGGAACCTGTGTCACTGTGACTTTGTTTATCTAGGACCTGTGACACTGTGACTTGTTTATCTTGTACCTGTGTCACTGTGACCTGTTTATCTGGTACCTGTGTAACTGTGACTTGTTTATCTGGAACCTGTGTCACTGTGACTTCTTTATCTAGGACCTGTGTCGTACCTGTGCCACTGCGACTTGTTTGTATGAGACCTGTGTCACTGTGC